TGTAATGACTTTCAATCTGGGAAAGGAGTATTGTTTATCAGGAAAAAACAAGGAGAAACACAAATTCAGCCTTACAAATCTCTACAAGTTAATTTCCAGTATGTTAAAAATTCTCTATGTTATCTAAAATTGCCCTCTGCATTTTCAAAGGAGTCTGATCATTTTATTACATGGTTGCCACAAAAAATTAAACTTTGTTTTTCCCAGGTTTCATGACAGAATTTTGACTTTTTCCCTGACCCTAAAGAATATTCTGATTTACTTTAAAATAATAATTAGATACTGAGAAAAATGTTCGAATACATTTATATAATTTTTTTAGTTGTAAAATTATTCAAAAAGAACATTAACTTCATTTTTAAATTCAAAAATAATTAATTTCTTCAATAATTGAATGTTTTTTAAAATTTAATTTTTACGAAGAATTTTATTAACAACTTTTGAAAATAATTAAATCGTGAATTTCGAAGAGGGCTGTTTTTTGTGAGAAAATGATAAAAGAATTGTCCTCAAAAACAGTAAGTTAAAAATAATAAATTTTAATAAATTTTTTTTAGCTCAAAAGCAATTCAGCATTAGGTTAAAAAACAAGCAATCTTAGTTTAAAAGTAAAAAAAAGACACTTTAAAACATTTTTCTAATCTAAAAGTACCTCAGATGAATTTTTTCTTTTAAGAAAACGGCAATGAATATGTAATAATGCAAAAAATACAAATTAAGTAAAATTTGAAAAAAAAATCCGAGTTGAGACCTTTTCGAAATTCACTATTCAATTGAATTCATGCGAAAAATTTTATTAAATTTTGTTTAAATAACTGAAATTTTGTCAAGAATGTTATTAAAATTTTTGACAATAATTTAATTCTTGAGAAGAATTTCGCTATCTATTTATAAAGATAATTTAATTCTTGAAGAGAATATTTAAAAACTTTTGAAAATAATTTAATTTCTACAAAGTATTTTATTATTTACAAAAAAAAAAATTATTGCCACGAATTTTAAAATTTATCAAAACTAATTGAATTTTGGAAAAGAATTTTATTAAAATTCCTTAAATAATTGATTTTATAGGAAGAATTTTGTTGTTTATCAAAATAATTGAATTCTTTTGCAGAGTTACTTAAAACTTATTAAAAATAATTTATTTTTTGCGACAAATTAAAAAGTTAGTTATGAAAATAATTAAATTATTGCGACAAATTTTATTATTTTATTGAATAATTAAATATTTCTTAAAATTGAATTCTTTCGTCGAGTTTTGATACAATTTTTAAGAATAATTGCAATTTTCGAGGAATTTATTTAAAATTGTATTAAAAATATTTGAAATTCTGCAATGAAAATTATTTATTTCTTAAATTTTCTTAATTCTTAGTCTTAATTCTTAATCTTAATTTTTGCTATTTATAAAGATAATTGAATTCTTAACGAGATATTCGTTAAAATTATTAAAAATAATTGAATTTTGTCAAGAATTTTATTACTTTTGAAAATAAATTAATTCTTGTTGTGAATTATAATAAACTTTTGAAATAATGAAAAAATGTATGAAATGTATGAAAAAAAAAAAATGTATGAAAAATGTATTCCTGTCAGAAATAGAAAAAAAATTTTAAACGTTTTGTGTTAGAATTCGTGGTAGTTTTATAGTTTATGAGGCAAACAAAAAAGATACCAAAAATTCAGAATTTTCTTATGAATTCTAAAATTTTAATTTTTTCCAGTACTTTTAATAAAAATCTCTGACTTTTCACTGAATTCCCTGACCTGTGGCAACCCTGATTTAACGTTCAAATAGTATTATTAATTAAGTGTTTAATTTAAAAAAATGTGTTAACCACGTATATGCATAAAAATATAGGTTTATTCATTATTTTTGTTCACACAGAAGCTGCTCTGGACTTATTAAAGTGCAAGAATGAATCAAACAAGTCCATTGATGGTTTTCTTAGCAATTGGCTATCAAATTGCACTCTCAGGAGTCGCAGACAAGAGTAAGCCAATTAACTTTTTTAATAATTTTTTGCTTTCTTGTGGAAAGAAGCTTTGTGTTCTTCTAATTTATAAAATTTTTAAAATGGTTGATACAATTTTCCCCTATATAGGAATATGTTATATAAAAAAAAAATTCTGCCTAAAAAAATTCTAAATAATTAGAAAAATAATTAAAATAATAATATTAAAATAATTATTAATAATTTTTTCTTACTAAAATTTCTTACTATTTTTAGGGCTTCTGTACCAAATGTAATGGAATTATGAAAATGATTATTTTTACATAAAAAATTTCCTTAAAAAGGGGTATGAATATCTTTCTAATGCTCGTAAACAAGTTCCCAGGAAAAGGGGGCTATGAGTTACGTCCACTACAGGTGAGCGAAAATATTAAATTTCTATAAACAAATACTTACTATACATATAATTAGCAATATATTTTTAGCATTGTAAGTATTTAAGTATAAAGCATAATTTATATGGATTATAATTTATGAACTTGTTACTTTTTTCAATTCTGTTAAAAAAATGTTTCTTTTATAATTAATTAGATATTTATTATATACATTAAATTAATTATAATATTAACTTTAATAATCTTATATTTTGTCTTTCTTTAACTAATTAATTAATTTAATTTAAATGTTCCAAGTACACATGTAGTATGCAATACACTCCAACGCCGGTTTTCTATGTTTTGATTCGTTAAAGGTAATGTTAAAGTATTGTTCGCTTTAACGGACGACTCCCCACGGATAGTCCGCTAAACAGACTTTGGAGTGTATTATATATCAGTCTAAAAACAAAAATTTTCCAATTGAAATGTTATTTTATTTATCTATTGTAATTTTTTCATAATTTCTATAAGCAAATTACGGATATATGTAATTTATTTGTCATTGTTTGTTGCAGGTCTGTTCAAAAAGTGGACATCCAATCTAAGATGAATTCTTATTATTATTCTTTACCATTGTACACGAAATATAAATTTTTTTTGCAATAAAATATTTGCAAATAAAACTATTACATGTTTTCCGATCGTAAAAATTCACCTTAAATATATTACCTTTTTTAATTTGCCTGTAGTATTACTAAAATTTATAGTTACTGTTAGAATTAGTTTTTAATTAAAATTATAATATAATTTAAATTCGTTAGACTAATAGAAATCGTATCGTGCAATCTTACCACGATCTTACATGTAAGTTTACCACGTTCTTACGTGTAAGCTTACCTCGATCTTACGTGTAAGCTTACCTCGATCTTACGTGTAAGTTTACTACGACCTTAGGTGTGAGCTTACCACGACCTTGCCGTGTAAGCTAACTACGACCTTAATGTGTAAGCTTACCATAGCCTTACTGTGTAAGCTTACTATAAGGCGGAACTTTTTAGACGACATCATGTTTACCACACTCTTACTTGGTAACCTTACAAGCCCTACAGATGTCCTTCCAGTAACCTTACCTTGAGAAGCTGTGCTATGTGGGAATTGTTGTTTATATTTAAATATGATGAGTGCAGTATAAGAGATTTATTGTTACTAGATATGATGTAAATAATTAATAATTGTGTAATTAGTGTGAATGCAAAAGGGTTATGTTCACTTGTTGTAATACATGTTTTCAATACATAGAGTATGTTTATACGTGTATTAGTGCAGTGCAGTGTTAGTGTTGTGATTCTAAAAACTTCATAGACTTTACAAACTCTATAACAGGGCATGCGCAAAGATTCTGCCATGGACCAAGGGATAAATGCTCCCTCACGAATTCAGTTCTACTTTGGAGTTCTTTCGTAATGTACTTCAGAGTAGTCCCAAAAATAGTTATAAGAATAACTTCGACTTGTGTAATGTTTTTGACTTTAATAAATGTATTGGGTTTACTCGCGAATTTAGTTGGATTAATGATTAATTAATATTATTAATTATTAATTGATCCTTCTTATTTTCGAGGTTTTTCCCTCCGTTTTAACGGAAATCAACTTGTTTTATTTAAATATTTCCGCCTTCCTTTTCAAAGGATTAAACCAAGATTGAACATCAAATCAAATCGCGGATCTTACGCCTGCGCGTAAATAACGTAAATCCGCACGTAACAGCACATCTAATTTTCTCATTTTACTTCCTGACGTCGTGTATTATATTGGATTTTCAATTTCTTGTGCACAAATGAAAGAACAAAATTTCAGGATAACTAGTATTTTTAATTTATTTTGCAATAATTGTCCAAATAGGGAGAAAAAAATTGTTTTGAAATTACGTTTACGTTCAAGCAGCCATTTTTAAAAGGCGGACACTGTTTGAAATATTGAGCAACACCGTTAATTACTTGTAATATCAAGTAATTAACGGTGTTAGTTAAATATTTGTACATTAAAGAAAATTTGAGAAAAATAATTTAGAATCTATGATTTAAAACTTCATACGTCTCTGAATGTTATTGTGAATTTGCTATAAGGATATTCTTGTTGTAATGGACCACAGGACATTCGAGCCCGTTACAGCAAAAGTCAGTGCATATGGGGCATTCCACGCGTATATATAAAAATTAAAATTTTCAAAATAAATAGATCCCATCGTTTGCCCACAATCAGACAAGGCTTAAAAATGGTTAATTTATAGCTTCTTACAAAAAATTTTGAAAAAATTGATCAATACATACATGGTTAAAAATAAAGTTTTTTAAAAAAATTTTTAAATTTTATCGTAAATTAAAAAAAATCCATATTATTTTTATTAAAAACTACGTGTGAAAACAAAACTTTTCGTTAAAAGAACGTCCAATTTGATCAATTTTGTTTATAAAGCCATTTACCAAATGCACTGCAAGCCCGATCAGCGCGCTGATCGGGCTTGCATAGTGTGTCTCCCAAATGTATACCCACGTGGGGAAACAATTGGTAAAACCATTCCGCAAGGGCGGGCAAGTTTTGTTATTGTTATGTCATTGTAGGCAAGAGTCTAAACGTCTGAGAGTGCAGTCCCATGTGGGTAGAATAGTGGATTAGTGGAACAGTGGAATAGATTAGACCCTTGGAGGGGGAATGAATTTTAAGTGATGAGTGTGTGCACTCTACCTAATTCTGAGTTCGTGGTTTGTGCTTTGCGGGAACAAAATAATTTGTTTACAAACAAGTTTTTAAAAAAGGTTTGAAAATGGAGAACAATAATAAAGAGAACAATGAATCCGTGGTAAGTATTATTTAAAAATATGAAGGGAAATTTAACAAAAAGTTTTTTGCATGTTTCTTATGAAATTTAGAAAAATAACCTCAAACTAAAAATTTCTTTTATATCCACAATGTTTATTAATAGAAAATATTGTTTTAATGTATTTGAATTTTATAACAATAATTGTTACAAAATAAATAGAAATTTATCTCACTTACACATTTTTTAAACAATGTTTTTTTATTACTTTGAGTTTTATACATATTGAAACATTTTTTTTCATTGATAAACGTAATGGATTGTAATTTGTTTGAATTCTTCAATGTACGAAATTTATTATATTTTATTATTATTTATTATTATTATATTATTAATAATAATAAATATTGCATTTCGACGTTTAAATATACTAATTTTACATAGATTTTTAAATTGTATATGTACATAATAAGTAAATTATTTTTCTTTTATATATAGGGATATACCTGTTCCTATTGTTCTGAAGAGGTTAACATTGAGGAGCCGATCGAAACCCACAATTGCTTCAGCGAAGTAAATTTTTTGAAATTTAGCCTTCAAAGTGATAGAACAAACCGTCTTGCTCTTATTGAAATAAGTAAGAAAATTATTTTATTTTCGAGATTACAGAGTGGTCACAAATTTCATATTATCAATTTCCCTGACAATTTACTGACATTAAAATTCTTTTTACAGGAAAATATAGAAACTTATGAAAACGAGTAAAATTTAATAATTTATAAAAATTATAATTATAACCCTTCCTAAATTCAATTATTTTATATAATTTTCAAATAAAGTACATTGATAAATCAATTATTTTAAACAATTTTCCTAAAGTTCTTCGAGAATTAAATTATTTAAATACGAAAATTCAATTTTTTATAATAATTGTAACTGACCATGTTTTTCTCTTAAGTTTATTAAGGTATAATATTTTCAAAATTTTGAAGAATTTTAATTATAAATATGACCATGATTTCTCAGAAATTTTAATAAGTCCAAAACAGTACATTTTTATTTGCTTTATTCAAATATAATTAAATCTTAAAAAATTATAATAAAACAATTTTAAGAATTAAGTAGTTTCTAAAAATATTTTAATGTAATTTTTTGAAAACAATTGAATTTCTTAAAAAAGTTTTTGTGTTATTTAAAAAAACTAATTCATTTTTTTATAAATTTTAATGAAATATTTTGAGCATGACTTGCTTCTCCAAAATGTTAAAAATAATTCTAAAAATGTTTTAAAAAAATGTAAGCAAATTTTTATTTTTAAATTTACGTTTAAATATTTTTCATAAAAATTTTTGATAATTCAATAATTTTGAGAATTTGCAATTAATATTCTCTAAAAGTTGATTTTAAAAATTTTAACAAAATACTTTTAAAAAATTAATTATTTTCAATTAAATTTTACAAAATTTCAATTATTTAAAATATATTTTTTTGTACCTATATTTCAAAAATTTAATTAAAAAAATGATTCAAAAATAATTTTTGAAACATTGGTTTATAGTTATTTTTCGCACTATGCAAATTGAAATGAATTACATTTTATACTAAAAAAATATTATATTTTGTTACAATATTTAGAGGAAAATTTGATAAAGTCGCAATTTTTGAAAATAAGACGAAAAAATCTCAATTTTCTTTAAATCCCTGAAAAAAAATTTTTTTCCTGGCATTTCCCTGACTTTAATAAAAAAAAATTTCTTTTACTGACATTTCACTGTCTTTAATTACTTTACTTACATATGGCCACTTTGAAATTAGGATGTTTTACGATAATTATAATTATAATAAAATATAAATTTGCGAAGCTGTAATCGAAACTTAGTTGCCAACATTTCTGCCCCAGAATTTAAAAACTGCGGTTAGTGACATTGTATGTTAAGTCGCAGTTTCTGTTGTATACATAAACAAAAATTAACCAAATTGACAATGTCTCTTACCGCGTTACATTTATTTAAAAAAAATGGACTATTTGTATTTATACATTGAAAATTAAAGAATATAATGTGTTATTTTCTTAATTGCTCATTTTTCAAATTAATCATTAATTTTTTTAGTACATTCAACCTTTCAAAAATTAAAAACTACAAGAATAAAAATATTATTTTCAAAGACTTTAATCAATTTAGGAATTAAATGCATACATGTTTTTAAAAATAGAATTATGTAAAAGTATTTTTTTAAATTACTTAAAATAAAAAGCGCAATATAAGACATAAATCATTTTATATATATTTATACAATATTATAATCTATTATTTAAAATAGATTCAATTTATAAAACTCTATTTATTTCAGACCCAAACACTTCAACTAAAGCTGCCACTCCTCCTAAGGCCAAAAAATCAAAATTGAGGAAGGTCTTAACGGATAATCATATTGATGTCATTTTGATAAAAGAAGTTGAGGCGAGGCCGCAGCTTTACAATAGAAAGCAGAAAATTACCCAAGCTCAAGCAAATGTGTTGTGGCAAGATATTTCCAACAAATTAGGAGGTACTCATTGTATTTGTCACAAATTTACTTTATTACATTTTTCTCGACCTTCTACATGCAGTGAAATTATGATTAATAGACAGTGAAAATATAATTAACTTTTTATCAATTTTATAGTAAATAGACAAAAAGTATTATTCTTCTTTTTAATTTTTTTTTCTTCGAGACTTAAATTATTCAAAAGTAAAAATATATATATTACATTTAGAATCAAATCCTCGGAATTTATACACTTCCACTTATCAAGGGGTGTTTTAAATAGTCTTATACTGTTTTTAATTGAGTCCAATTTAAAATAAAAATATATTTTCTTGCAAACATTTTTTTCGATGTATTGTGTCGAAAGCTACATTCAATGTTGCAATCGATGTTAAATCTTGTATCTCATTTTTTCTGCTATAACAATTTTTGATATGAAAATAAGTTCTTATGTGTAGGTAAATACAATATGAAGGAAGCTAAAGAGAAATGGAAGTACCTTAAAACAACGTATTTTAGAAGAAAGAAGGAAAACGGTGTTTGCTGGCAGAGCCAGTACTTAACATTTTTGGATCCTCATGAGGATGATGCTGAGGAGTAAGTAAATATTTTTCCTACCTGTACAGAAAGTATGTAATTTAGGCACTAAGAGCGGGCTCAAAGTAACACATTCCTATCCTATCAAAGTTACACTGGGAAAATTTTAGGCAGACTTCAAGATTTTTATGGTAGTCACTAGAGCTCTCTGTCTCAGGGCTCGCAGTTCGTCGTAAAAAGGCGAGAATCTACTCCCCAGGAGCAGTTGCTGGCTTTTCAGAAAACTACTCCCGAAAATTCGCCTTTACGGTGAACTGCGAGACCTCTAATTTCGGCCATGAAAAGCCTGCAGTCTGCCTAAAATTTTCTCAGTGTATGACAAAAAATTATGTTCGCAACATGAACGCAAAAGTGATTATGATTCAGGCGAAATTTCGAGACCTTGGTGACACTTCCGCTCTCTCGGCTTCCCCTCGGGCGTGAAATTGTTTCCCCTTGGTCCCTAAATCTCGACATCGTCACAATCATCGAATTTACACCCTTGATACGAAAATAATTATTCTTGTACTTCATTTAGAAATACATTGCCCGGAGATCTCGAGACTCATAGAGTAGATGAAGAAATTGACGCCACTGAACACATTCCGCTAAATTCAGAAACTTTGGAAACCGTATCTATGAATTCAAAACCTAAAAGTGTTGGCAGCCGTAAGAGGAAATTGGGTAAAAGTATGTATAATGAATTACTGTTTTTTAAAAAAGATATTCAATTTGTTCAATTTCTTAACTTTTAGGGTAGTTACAAAATTCGGTTTATAAATTTCCCAAAAATTTTTTTCAGTAAAGTTGCGTTAACATTTTTTATAAAGAATTAATTTTCAAAAGGTTTTAAATTTCAATTCAAGTTATAAAAAAATTTGAATTTTGAAAACCCTAATTAAATATTTCAAAAAAGTTATTATTTAGAAAATTTTTTCGAATTTTTTCCCAAATTACTTGAATTTATTATAATACATATTGAATTGAAAATTCTTTAAATAAGTGATAATGTATAAAATTGATATGTAAACAAGTTTATTTATAATAATTCTACAATTAAAGATACTCACAGATAAATGTATTATAATCTTTTTTTCTGTATCTGATCATTTTCAAAATGAATCATAGCATTTTTTGGGACTTGAGAAAAAGTAAAAATTATGTCTAAAAATGAGGAACATGTTAGGGAAAGACAATTATACTTTTGTGGCTTCCCTGATTCGTTATTGTTTGCGATAAGCGATAACATGATATACATATTTAATGAAATGAGCCAATTACAATAAAACTAACAAAATTTAAGGCACTCTTCCTATGTGCCGGTTTTAAAAAATCGATTTTTTTGCATTTTTCGAAAGTACAATATCTTAGAAATATCGTGTAAAAGTTTTAGACAGATATTTAAAAAACTAACAAAGTTACAACGTGTACAATTAAACAGTGCACGGGCGCGAGCTACAGCTACCAAAAATTTAAAGGCGTTTTTCTCAAAACTACTTTTTTCTAATTGGTGGCAAGGATTACTCAAAATCTATTTAACCAATCGGTCTGCAATTTGGAGGCATTATTCTACACATGAGTGGCTATCGTGTGAACCTCGGTCATGATTTTACATAAACATTTTCCTATTTTTTTTAAACAATTACTTGCGAAAAAAAGCGATTTTTGAAATTTTTTTTAATAGTCTGTCATTTTGTTATTTATTAATATAAATTGTTTATTGAGGTTCACATGATAACAGTAAGCCTACTGAGTAAAACTACGTTTGATTTTTTTATTTCAGACAATACTGAAGAAAGTTATCGTTGCGACCGTTCACCCGTGCACTTTCAAAGGAGTCACCTTTGACTCATAAAAATAATTATTAAATGATTTGAAAAATCACTAAAAAAAATTTTTTGTATATTTTTAGACGTAAAATAAGTTATAGAATTATATTTTATTTTCTGTGAAAAAAAAAATTCCTGAAAAAAGCCTGAAATTTCGGCCGTCACATAGGAAAAATCCCTTAATAAAACGTCGATTTTTTGTCAAGCTCTGGACTAACAATTTCACGAATAACCAAAAAGGCTGATTATTATAAAAAATGTTCCTTCTAACTTCTCATTTTTAATCCATTTTTATAATTTTTAATGTTGCAAGAAACAAATTGTGATGAAGATGGAGAGGGGACATTAACGGAACTTGAGAAAGCTATATCTACCTTCGTTAATGAAAGTAAGCCACTTGATTCTACTGACGGATTTTGCTTAATGTTTGAAGAGCTTCTTCGACAACTTCCAGAAGAAGTAAGATCTACCGTTCAAATGAAAATATGGATGGAACTAATAAAACTAGTCGAAGAACAAAGACATAAGTCAGATTGATAACAGGATTTGTTAAACAATGCAATTGTTACGTTTTTAGATTGTCTTCTTACCTTATTCAAGGCAATTTAATTACTTTAAAAAAATTTTAAGCAAATAGTAAAAACTAAAGATATAATATGCTTAAAGTGTTCAAATGTTTGCACCATAGTGCTTCAAATTATCAGTTAACTAATTAAGTTACATATATACCATTGATTTTCTAGTTTCCATATAATATACAAGATTGCTTTTATTATAATGTAAATTAATGTTTTGAAGTAGTTTAATATTGTTGCTTTGGAGTATAACTATGAGTTTACTTTAAAAGATTTGAGCAAATCATTTTCTTACAATTGAGGCCTTGGATCCAATAATTTCGCCCGACGCTCGGAGGAACGCGCTAATACCAGTCGGGTAGCAGTGAGTGGCCCAGAGGCGCTCACTGACTGACAGTTGCGCGTTCCTCCGAGCGTCGGGCGAGTTATTGGATCCAAGGCCTCAATTAAAAATGTTGAAATAGTAATGATTGGAAACTAGGGTATTCTTGGTGATAAATTAGTTTTGAAACATAAGGAAATCAGTAGTTTAACTTTTTTTGTCATATTATTATAATTGCACCAAATACTACCAAATATGAGTTATAAAATAGAAAAAAATTACTTGGTGATAAATTAGTTTTGAAACATAAGGAAATCAGTAGTTTAACTTTTTTTGTCATATTATTATAATTGCACCAAATACTACCAAATATGAGTTATAAAATAGAAAAAAATTATTATGATAATGTATTTATAAGATATATAAAAATAACTTATCTTGTTTCAGTATGAAATACTGTTTCCAGTTTATAAATATTAATGTCAAATTCTATTATAATATTAAAGCGTTAACAAGGATAAATTATTTTATAATACGTAATTGTGATAATATGATTATATAAATATGCAAATCAGTATTGCAACTTATCTTGTTTTATTATTAAGTTCTGTTTTATATTTTTAAACGTTTAAGTCATACTTTATTATTGCACTCATGTACTGACAAAGTTTATGATTACTTATTATAATATTTATATTATATATTTATTTAACAAGAAACGTGATTCATAATTATGTACACATTAATTTGAATGCGCTTAAGTTGAAACGTTTTGTATTAATAAAATATTTTTAATGGTTTTGTATCACAATATGTCGCTTTCAATTTAAAAATTGTTTTGTAGGACCTTCTCCCACTGCCATTCAACAGCGCCTTCATTATAGAAATACTGTGCGAATGTTTCTCTGGCGATGCTAGGATCATTTTGATCAATTAACCCGTTCTCCATAGGAATTTCTATTAAAGCATCTGCCGATAATTGTCGGTCTTCTTCACTTAGTGTCTGATACGGTCTTCTATTCTCAGGTTCATTCTCTTCAAGGCTTAGTATAAAGTTGTGTAATACTATTGCTGCTAATATAATTTTTTTCGTTGTTGAAACTGAAGCAATAATTTTTCTAGCGAATACTCTCCATCGCGCGACCAAAATTCCGAACGCACATTCTACAATACGCCTGGCACGACTAAGTCTATAATTGAAAACTTTCATCATGTTGTTTAAATCACCACTCCTAGCATAAGGCGTCAAGACACTCGTAAATCCACATAATCCCTCATCTGCCACGAAAACATTTGGCGCAATTGGTCCATTTTCTCCTGTAAAAAACAAATATATATTATCGTCAAGGAACCAATTTTTTTAATTTCAAAAATTACCTAGAGGTTCTGCAGGTGGAATGTGAAGATTGTTGTTTATGAGTCTTTTAAAAAATTCACTGCTTCTTAAAACACCGGAATCACTTCGCCTTCCTTCACCTCCTACGTCCACTATGAGAAACCGAGCTTTGGCGTCACAAATCGCCATTAAATTTATTGCAAAATCATGTTTGTAGTTGTAGTACAATGAACCGGTATTATATGGAGCCTAAAATGTTTTCAAAAAAATTATGAATACACAATAAATATTATGTTTGTTTTGTTTTTATAGTAAAGTGTTTCACATACTTCAAGTTTATTACCTAATAAAACAGACTTGCTATATAATACGAAATTATCATTCATGGAAATAGATTTTTCAGATTTGACTTCTAAAATTTTTCAAAATTGCTGTATACATACACTTTTTAACATTTTTATGAATTTTGAAATTAGTACAGTTACTACAAATAAAAGAAATCAGGGAATTTAAACCTAAATAGTGAAAAATATTGAATTTTTTGAAATGTTACAAACAATTTTTTCTAAATTTTGAGTAAAAACCTTAAACTGCTTTAATATTTTCTTTTCCATTTAAAAAATTTAATGGAATATTTATAGGGCAATAGCCTGCAAGTTAAATTTAAATTTCGAAGAATCTATTAAAAATTATTCAAAAACTGATTTAGAAAAGGATTTTAATTCAAAACTATGTTAAAATATTTTGCAAGAGTTGAAGTTAAAATCTTTGGAAACAATTAAATTTCGAAATTTTGTACTATTTAATTTTTGAGAATTAATAATTATATTTTTAAAAAACTTAGAATTAAAATTATTATTAATATTAATATAAAGGAAAAAATTAACAAGCTTTTCTATAGAAATCAGGTAAATGTGTAATAGAATTTTTTGTGAGCATTTCTACTTTTTACAAAGTATAGTTTTTGTACAAGTTTTACCCTTATTTGAACCTGCTTTCCGTCAATAGCTCCCATGCAGTGATCAAAGTTCCAGATTGTTTTGAAATCTTCAATGATGTCTTTCCAATTTTGCTCAGAAGGTTTAAGGAGGTAATCATCCTTTAGACATTCGTAAATTTTTTGGCACGTTTCAGAAATAATTTTGGAAATAGTATTATGTGCTACTCTAAAAGCGTATGAAAGAGACACCATAGAATCTCCTGATGCTAAGAAACGTAATGTGATTTCCAAACGAGTTTTTGCGCTTATAGGTTCACGAAATACTGTTGCCTTCTCAATTAGAGGTCCAATACGCTCATACAGTTGATCAAATACAGCAGGAACAACGCGAAAGAATGTGAAGTATTTCTCGTGGTCGTTAGATAACATTTCTTTTATCAAATTATTACTAAAACCTTGTTCAATCCTTTTATCTACTGTAAAAATAGGGCGCACCCAGAATCTTCTTTGCACAGAAACTTGCTCTTCTCTACGTACAATTTGTTTCCTAATTAAATATAATTTCCAGAGACTAATTATTTTACTTCGTAATAATTCTCTACGCCAAGAAACTGTCTCTTTTTTATTATATTTTATAATAAGTAGTTGTATTATTCTGAGTTGAATTTTCAGGTCCATATTAAATCACCTTCAATAAACTGAAAAAAAGTTTACAAAATAAGCTTCTTGAAAATTCGATATACATTATCTCAGACTTTAATTAAACTTATCTGAAATCAAAACTAAAATATTCTATTAATAACTAGGAGAAATAAATTTGAATGTATTATAAAAGAAGAAATAAAATATTTTTTCTTATGCCTTAAAAGTATTCTTTTAGTAATAATAATAATAATAATAATAATAATATAAACTTAGTTAATTTCTCTATCCAAACATTATTAATAAGAGCCAAAATTTTGTATAAAAACATTTTATAATTATATACTGCACTCACCTTATAGTATTAAATTCAGATATTAATAACAATTAATGTTCTTTATGTCATTGAAAGTTATTTTTGTTTTAAATAATCAGTGATATTATCATTACACTAAATCCTAAATATATACAATATTTTCTCAAAAATAGATAAAGAAATCAAAGAAATTTTTTAGATCAGCAGGTATTTATTCCACTAATCCACTATTCTACCAAATTTCAAAGCTCTATGTCCCATGTGGTTGATTAGTAACAGTAGATTAGTAAGACAGCCAATAAGAATCGATTTTTCCGATTGTTCGGAGTGTAACACTAACGACGATTGGCTTCTTCTAATCCTCTAATCTACTATTCTCCGTACATGGGACACAGGTGACTATAATTTCGAAGAATAGTAAATTAGTAGATTAGTTATTTCAAACAAAATTTTTATTAATTAATTTCATTTTTTTGTTTATACAAATATAAAAAACTTTGTTTTTAAATTAATTTAAATGTAATTAATTAATTTTAATTAACATTATTAATGTTATTCAAATGAAATGAAAGTATTAATTAATTAATTAATTAATTAATTAATTAATTAACTATATTAATTTGAATGTTCTTTCATTCTTTCATTCATTCACTTTTTCTGTCCCTCACACTCTCAAGTTGTCTTTTATTTATACTTTTGTTTTTTCTTATTAACATCAGATAGATTGTATACATATTATATTATTATGTTATGATTATTTTTATTTTATAATAATTAATTCAAAATTATAATGACAAATAGAAATCATCAGAATTTTTTACACATCTTTTCATTAAAAGACTAAAATTTTCTTAAATATTATGTTTTGTCAAATTGAAATTATTTTTGTTCTTTACTTCTAAAGAAAATTAGAAAATTGTTAAACAACTGTGATTAAGAAATGGAAAATTGATTTATTTTGCATTATTTTTGTTTATGAATCACAATTTCTTTAAACAAAATTATTATTTTGTTTTGGAAAAAGAAGAAAAATATTTGCACAAATCTTATTTTTAATCTTCTTTTTTGGAACAGGATTTACCACAGGAATTTGTTATAAAACATAAAGAAATCGATCACTCCGAGTCTTCGACTCGGAGCAATCGATATCTTCATGTTTTATAAAATTAATGAAAGATGATCGAGAGATAAAATCATTATTTCATACTATAAAAATATTGTTACTGTAACTTTATCAAAATTATTTACATCATTTTAATTCATTTATTATTTTCTAGAATTTCAAATTATTTTTTATGAAAATAATAATTGAATTCCTTAAAAAAATTTTATTATTTATGAAAATAATTAAATGTTTACACAAAATTTTATTAAACTTCTTTTTAAATAATTAAATTCTTTTTGGGAAATTTTATTAAAATAGTAGATATTGAAAATCATTAAGAAATAAAAAAATAGAAAAAAAAATTAAAAAATCATTAGAAAATTTGTTAAAAATTATTGAAATTAGAACAAGAATTTTTTCGTCAAATAATTGAATTTCTGCAATTATTTGAAAATTATATTATTTTTATTCAAAAATTTTTTCGAAAAAATGAATTTTGTTTTTAAATCAGATTTTTTATTTTATAAATATATTTTAACAAAACTTTTTAAAAATAATTGCACTTTTCGCGAAATTCATTTAAAATTGTATGAAAAAAGAAATGAAATTCTACATTGTATTTTATTATCTATAGAAATAATTGAATTTTTGCATCGATTTTAATTGAAAAAAAATTTAATTCTTCAGAAAAATGTTATTATTTAGAAAATTAATTGAATTCTTTCCCAAAAAATTGATTAAAATCTTTTAAATCACTTAAATTTTGCAAAGAATTAATCAATTAGCTGGATTGACCCAATTCATTTTTATGAAATAATCCGATCTTCAAGCAGGAAATCTGTATGATTCGACGATATCGTTTGTAAATGATAAGAGATGAATTCCCACACTTAAACGTTTAGCAATTGGTAATTTTTGGATTTCATTCCTTACAATTGTCACAAATCCATCTACACCATCTGATTTTTTCTTTAAATCGTTTATAACGTTAACGACGGATTCATCAAAAGATTCAACGATTCTTTTTTCACTTTCTGTAATTGAAGATACGAATTAACATTTATTAATTACATATAATGCATAACCTAATTATGTAAATGTTGCATTTACGTACCCTTAATATTACATTGTTCCGTTAATTTGATTTGAAAATCATTCTCTATATTCTTCATTTTTGAAGATGTAGAACTAAGGGAACATTCAGTCCTGTAACAGAAGTGTAGTAAAGCTTACTGTAATATAAGATACTTTATATTTTTGCTTTAAAAAAAGTAATTTATTAAATTAAACTACCTTATCTCCTTAAAGTCAAAATTAAGTATGTGATACAGTTTCTTATTTAGGCTATATATTATTTTGGATCATTGGCTTAAATTTAAGAAAATAACGCTTTTTCATATAAAATAGAAAATAAACTTTCTCCAACGCCTGCTCTGATAGGAATAGTTTCCATGTTAAAAGAGTGTGGAGGAAGTAGAAAGTAAATTTTATTACTTCATTGATTTTTTCTCTATCTTTGACCAAGGTATATTTTGTGTTACACTCCTCTCTCACTCAGATCATTCGTTCGTTATTTTACTAAAATATAATTATACTTTAAATGCTTCCCTATTACTGTCATGAAAATTTTCTTTGAATATATCTATTTTTCAACTAAAAAAATTGCAAAAGAAGTTCTTCCTTAAACAAAATATCTTTTAAGTTAATAACTCATACCTAATCTATTTGCAAAAGGTTTAGTTCGACGCTTGTGTAAAGTACTATAATAATACATTGTGCAACTGGTGGTGAAAATGATTGATTTTACAAGAGTGAAAATTAACACTCGAAACATCATTTTTTACTACGAGTTGCACTATGGTATATGCACTTAAATTTTACGTTCTACTTTCGCCACGCTTTTTTTAAAATGAACAAACGTTGGAGAAAATTATTTAATGAAACAAGGAGAAGAAACCTGTTTACAGATCTACTTTTCATAAAAACTAAAACTTTTTGTGAAAGTCTTTTCATAGCCAAGTAAATTATAATGTTAAAGAAAATCTTGCACTGCAAGTTTTTAAATAAACATCATTATTTTTGTTTATTAAAAAGTATTCAATTATACATATCATTAAACTTACTCATCAAAAAGTTGAGTATCATTCAAAAATGTTAATTGTTTCATGAATGGAAAATTCGTCTTCCCCTTTTTCTTTGCTGCAGATCCGCTTGGAATGTATGCATTTTCCTCTTTCCTACATTCGAGATACCGAGTTCTCAATTTAATCCACCTACTCTCGATTTCTTCAGGTGTAAGTACGCCTTTAAAAATATTTATTCTGTTTTGTGAGCAATGTTTTATCAGTAGATATGGATTATTTTTTATATAAAAATTAATTGGATATATCGATCACTCCGAGTCTTGGACTCGGAATGATGTGACTTCTTCAAAAATTGTTTTCATCATCACGATTGTTAATTACTAGAATTTTTAACTAAAATTCTTCTTGAAGTAAATTTTTTTCAAATTTATTTTGAATAAAGTATTTTAAATTGCAAATGTTCTGTGAAATTCTTCTAAAATTCTGTGAAAAATTTTATTAAAATTATTTTGAAAAAAATGAATTTTTACTCAAAGAATTGCATAGAGTTTTATTATTTATGAAAACAAACGAATAACACCTATATGAAAAAAATTTTTAATAATTAAATTCTTGTAAAATTTCCATTATTTATAAAAATAATAAAATGTTTGCGTAGAATTTTATTAAAAAATTTTGTTATTAATTTAATTATATTAAGAATTTTTATTACAATATTAGATAGTAAAATCATTGAATTGACAAGAATTTTATTAGAATTTTTGAAAAAAATTGAAGTTTTGATAAGAATTGTACTACTTTTGAAAATAATTGAATTTTTGCAATCTTTTTTAATTGCTTATGTTATTTACATGTTTTTTTAATTTCCAGTTAAATTCATTTAATATTGAAATTTTACAAAATTTTAAATCATAATGTTTTAAAGTTCATCTACTTGTAAAAATTGAATGAAATTTGAAATATTTAAGTGAAACTAGATTTCAAGAATAAACACAATAACTTTAGAAAACAACAATTTTCCAGGATTTCGATCAAAATTCCCTGATATGTCCAAGTTTTCTAGGTTACGTAGCAATCATGTATATGTAAATTTAAATATGAATGAAGTACTTATGAAGTAATTATTAACAATAATTAATTTAAAAATTAATTAAAAATAATTCTTTTCTTTACCATTCATGCAGCATGAAATTTCCCTCCAAAGGTCTTTCTTCTTTAATTTCGATCTCTCTTGAACAGGCACATTCTTCGTATCGTACAGAGCTGGTCTTTTTCGAACTTCAAATATTATGGAGTCGCTTAAATCCATATTTGATAATGGTAACGATTGTTCGACACATGACATGTTTACTGGTAAAAAAAGTTATAAAAATTAATAAGAAAATTTTTATCAAAAATTAAGAGAAATCGTTGCATTTAAAAAAATTCATCTTGAAAAATCCTAGAGAATGTGCTGGCGTATAAATTCGTATATAATGTTAAATAACAAAAGTACACTAGACCACCGCTCAAGTGGACATTATGGAGGAGGAATCCATTCTTGTGTGTATGACATAATTAATTAATTATTTCTTAATTAATTATGTCTTATTTTTTTGTGGTCATTTCTAAGATGTGTTGGTAGACACTTTTTAGTTATTTTAAATATCTTAATTTAAGATGTTAAAATTCCAAAACTTAGGATTTTTTGGGTATTCTCTATGAGCATAGCTAATCAAAATTAGAGAAACCTTTGGACGTTTTTGAATATACTCAAAACGTGGAGGTATACAAGCACCTATCAGATTATTTAAATAAAAAATTTTCTTCAGACAGGGTGGCCGGAAATTTTTTTTTTTTTTGAAAATTCCCTGACTAATTTTTAATTTTCCTTGACTAACAAATCTTTGAATTATTTAATATTCTACATTGAAATGTTCGTAAGAAGGTTCAAACTTATAAAAAATGTGACGGCACCATTATAATGAGCTATATTACAAAAACGTCTAAATAAATAACTGAATTGACATTTAAGTATCAAAGTTTTTTAATTTGTGATTTTTTTCGGTCAAAATTCCTTGACTTTTAAAGAATTTTTAAAAATTTCCTGACTTTTCCCTGATTTCCAGTTTTTCCCTGACTTGCGGCCACCATGTCAGAGTAACGTTTATAATAAGAATTAAATTTTTTATCACGCCTTCTCTGGTGTTTTTTATTTTCTCAAAAACAAGAAAGTCCATTCAAGCGGTGTAGTACGTGTACATTAGGGGCATTCTATTTCTCACCGTCCTATCTACAAAAAATAATCGCAAAGAGAGCGGTTTTTTAATAAATTTTGTTATATAAAAATGTATATTAAAAAATATATTATTTCTTATTTTATAGAGATGTACAAAAAGCTAGTTCTACAGAAAATTAGAATACTCGTTGCATATGTTATAATTCGTAAATTGAAATACAGTTTAAAGTTCGAGACTTTCTTTCTTTGTTGGTTAAAATTAAAATTAATTCGTTATTTTCTACTTCATATAGTTTTGTACTAATATGAGTACTCCATACACTGTCAAAAAATTTGGAGAATTGACGGTCTCTGGAGTTGGGAGTGAAATTTTTCGAGTTAAAAATCAACTCCAAAATGAAGTTAATTATTAAATTAACTCCCTTTTAGAGTTGATTCTTATTTTTACTGTGTAAATTTTAACTCTCTACATACAACTCCCTTCGCTTTAACTTTTATAGAATCCCCTAAAATTAAACACTCTTTTTTACAGTGTACATCGAGTCAAGCTAGAGCTCAACTCAGCTATTTGAGATAAAACGGTTTACAAGACATTACTTACCCATTTTTATAACCATATTTTTGTCGAGGTCATACCCTTGTGTCTCCTCATTAAAATCTTGGAAACATTTGTGGATTTTTGGTAAATCTTCCAATGTTTCGTTGGAACATTTTAACAGCGCCCCACAATATCCACATTTCATGAGCTAAAAAGGTAAAATTTTATACAATGTAAACAAAAAAAAAAGAAAATTTATGTAACATATGCTTCATAATTCTAAATTCAATTCAATGAATTAAATAAAAAAAAGTAAATTAAAAATACTAACTGGCCCAGACATATTTTTATTTAGAACTACGCCAAGATTATATCCTTTAATCGTTTTCTTAATTTTTGGTTTTTTCGATTTTGAACCTTCGTCTGTTCTTGAAATGTTCTTTGGATCTAAAACAAAATTAAATGATTATACAATTTTAATTTTTTAATTTTCTTTTAATCATGAGTTTTTCCATAAAAAATACTCTATTATTAACGTAATTAAAAAAAGTAATTTACAAATTTTAATACCTAGCAAATAGAATCAGTTTGGGGCAGGGACCGTCACGGAATCAAAACAAAATTAAAAAATACTTTTGTTTTGATTCGGATATGGGTATCAGAATCAAAATTCCATTCTATTTAGTTTTGATTCCAATATCAAAATCAAAATTCTTTTTTGTTTTAATTTTGATAAAATACTACTGCGCATGTATAAGTCTCATTGAATCTAAATTTTGTTGCAAATGTCAAATATATCAGAAGATAATATCGTTTTTACATACGAAATCTGAAGTAGAAATCGAATTTACTTCTGTTTCTATAAGAAAAACGAATTGCAGTATTACAGTATCAGAATCAAAATAGGAAGTGAATTTTTTTTCGTTACAGTATCAGAATCAAAATAGGAAGTAAATTTTGTTTCGTTACCGAATCAAAATCAAAATACATTAATAATTTCGTTTTGTTTTGGAATATTGTAACGAAATCAAAATTTGATTTCCGTGACGGTCCCTGGTTTGGGGACGCAAATATATTTCCGGAATTTAAAAAGTTTTTATTTGATTAATTTACATTTTTAGAAAATTTGATCATTTGAGTAAATGACACCTGTAAAATAATAATATAAGATAAATAACAGGTTTACCATTTTTATTTTCATCTTCTTCAGTATTAGACGGTATTCTAATTATTCAACATTATAATACTGATTAAAATTTTATAGTAAATATAACATTTATATTGTTGACTATTATTTTTCAAGAAAGTTATTTTACATATTTAAAAAAAATAAGTATACATTATAATATACAGTGTTTATATTATACATGTAGGCTTGATAGAAATTTGTTAAATTACGATTTATACAATTAAAAATTATCACCCTGTAAAATTAGATTACTATAAAATTAGGGGAAAAAAATTGGATTTTACAACCATTTTATGATTTGAAAGTTTGAGTGAAAAACTATACTTTATTATGATTATAATAAATGTGAATTGGATAATTTACCTATTTGCAAAAAAATAAATTCTGAAATAAACTCATTTTAACATCTGAAACTTTTAAATTATATAAAATTACGATTAGATTTTTTTTAATTCCGGATATTTACAGGGGTCCCTCAGTTTGATGTAAAAACGTATCTGGATTAGTAGTTATGTAGGTTAATTTTTTCAAAATAATGCAGATAAATATCAAGAACAAAAGAATATGCAAATTTTTGATTATTTATAAGAACAATAATTTTCCTCTTTTTTACAAAATACATGGGAAAATTTTATTGGGATATTTTTAATATATATATAAATAAAATTAATCATCATAAAGTAATTTTAACCTATAACTGAAAACAAATTGCAAACATTTTTGATGTATAAAACTGAGGTTAAGAATTTTTAGAGAGTAGATATTGTAAAATTAATTGAGACATTAAAAATATCACTTTCAGAAGAATCACCCTATAAAATAGTATAATCTAAGAAAATTCTTAAAACTCACCAGTTTTTTCAAGAACAAGACAGTTCATTTTATTTACTTTGATAACGTTTTTATCAAAATCTATTTTTTTAAAACAGTCGTGTTTTTTGAGGGTCTCCTTAATGCCAATTCCTTTCAAACAATATGAACAGGTATACAACTGTATAAAACAAAGAATAATATATTATGCATTTAGTATATGAAAATCGATTTAGAAAATATAATAGCAATTGTACACATTAAGAATAAATAATAAATTTCAATCTAAACAAATTACAATCCATTACGTTTATCAATGAAAAAAAATGTTTCAATATGTATAAAACTCAAAGTAATAAAAAAACATTGTTTAAAAAATGTGTAAGTGAGATAAATTTCTATTTATTTTGTAACAATTATTGTTATAAAATTCAAATACATTAAAACAATATTTTCTATTAATAAACATTGTGGATATAAAAGAAATTTTTAGTTTGAGGTTATTTTTCTAAATTTCATAAGAAACATGCAAAAAACTTTTTGTTAAATTTCCCTTCATATTTTTAAATAATACTTACCACGGATTCATTGTTCTCTTTATTATTGTTCTCCATTTTCAAACCTTTTTTAAAAACTTGTTTGTAAACAAATTATTTTGTTCCCGCAAAGCACAAACCACGAACTCAGAATTAGGTAGAGTGCACACACTCATCACTTAAAATTCATTCCCCCTCCAAGGGTCTAATCTATTCCACTGTTCCACTAATCCACTATTCTACCCACATGGGACTGCACTCTGAGAAGAGGAAAAAAAGTTCTGTTTAGAGTGAAAATATCTTCCTTTCTATTAATAGTGGAATGATTTGTTTTTATATGGATCATTTCAGTTATTCGTCGTTTTATAAAATTTGGTTCATTGTCCAAAATTTTGTCATTTTCCCAATCGAAGTCATGATTACAATTAATTCGATGGTGGTAAACTACAGAGTCATTATTTACTTTTTTATGTTCATTCATGCGAGTTAAGAATGACCGTTTTGTTTCACCTATATATATGTTGCACCCAGTAAAAAAAAAAGTATTCAGAATAGAGAAAAAGTATTGGTGGAGACGTTCGGTGAATGCGTTTTCGCGACAAAACCGTATTGGTGGGTTACGGTGAATACATTTTGCTTACCGTGAATACATTTTTTTTAAACTCTCATTTTAAAGATTCATAAGCAAAGTTGAGAATATTTATAAAGAGCGTAAGTGACCTGAAGTATAAAAATGACTATTGCGAGAAGGAAATAAGAAATTTAAAAAAAAACGAAAAATTAAATGTGACAAACCTACAACGTATGATGATGAAAAGGAACATTGACGATACCGACAGAAACTTGAGAAATCCAAGTAAATGTATGTGAAACAGTAAGTTCCGCCGGTAACGTCAAAGTTCCTTTTAATCATCGTACGTTGTAGGCACAGAAAAGCATATGGTAATTGATCAACATTTGACAATCTGTTTGTCACATTTAATTTTTCGTTTTTTCTCAAAATTTCTTATTTCCTTCTCGCAATAGTCATTTTTATACTTCAGGTCACTTACGCTCTTTATAAATATTCTCAACTTTGCTTAGGAATCTTTAAATCGAAAGTTTAAAAAAAAAGTATTCACGGTAAGCAAAATGTATTCACCGTAACCCACCAATACGGTTTTGTCGCGAAAACGCATTCACCGAACGTCTCCACCAATACTTTTTCTCTATTCTGAATACTTTTTTTTTTACTGGGCAGGACAATCTATACAGTCAAACTTTTATACAACATTTGTTCTGTCCCATTTTTTAGATGCATCTTTACTAAGTCTAATTATAGAATTGGAGTTTTTATTAATAAGTGGAATCGCAGTACAATGAAACTCTTTAAGAATATTTGACAACTTAAAGAAACATTTTTCATTGAAAGGTAAACAAACCTTCGGGATTTGACTGTCAAATGCCAGTATTCACAACTGGCGCAGTATTGCACCATTACTGGCATGCCAGCAGTTGGCTTGCCAGTACTGGTTCAGTACTGGCTTCATTAAAATCTCTGTACTACGCCAGTACTGCCCTTTAAGACCGGTATGCCAGTACTGTGCCAGTATTGTGAAAACAACACTGGCAAACCAGTACTACGCCAGTACTGTGCCAGTATTGATAACACGGTAAACTGACAATAGTCAGTTAGGAACTAATTAATGGAAATTTATGCGGTAATTTATAGAAATTTTGACAATAGTTTATAAAACTATGTAAAACACAAACGAGAACTAAAAAAATTAACATCGGTAATTTATGGTAATTTATGGAAATTTATGAGATAATTTATGAAAATTTTGACAATAAATTTTTAACTAAAAAATTTAACGTTAGTAATTTATGGAAATTTATGCGATAATTTATTAGAATATGTAAAACACGAATTAGACCTAAAATATTTAATGTCGGTAATTTATGGTAATTTATGGATATTTTAGAGGTAATTTATGGAAATTTATTAGGTACCTTACTTATTTGGTTTTTTTAAAATTTAGTTCAATTAAATAATAATTTAACTTAATTACGCAACAAAACGCTCTTTATTAATTGTAAGTGAAAAAGGTGTCGAAAATTAAAATTTATTATCCTGTAGCTTCGATAGTGTAGTGGTTAGAGTGTTAGGCTAGATGTCCGTAGGTCGTAGGTTCGATTCCCCACAGTGGCAAATTTTGTTTCGTTATAGGTTTGCGTTTATTCTGCGTTGTAAACATTAATTTGATTAAAAGTTAAAAGTTGGGGATTATTACATGTTTGCAAATATAAATTAATTTTTTTTATTATATTAAGATTGAATTTAAATAAATTTTCCATTAGATTGGAAAATAGACGGTTTGGTCTGATTCAGGCCAGCGCCAGAAGGTTTTTCTACACTAAACCAGTAGGTACTAAACCAGTACTCCGCCAGTACTGGCGCAGTACTGCGCCAGTTGTCAATTTTTGCTTGGGTTGTTGGACAATGAAATCGCTCTATCAACCAGATTGTATACAATATTCTTTTTTTGTTGGATTGGATGACCTGAAAAATAATTAATTAATTAACGATTCCTTCTTTACGATTTGAATTTACTATAATTTCAGAATATTTTCTTGTCTATAATTATATTTTATGTGGAAAAAGATTTGTTATTAATTATTTTAATGTGTGGCCACAAAAAATTCCTAAAAAACAGCTTTTTTTGAAGCTCTAGCTGTACGTAACCCCTTAATCTTCTGATTTTTTCATATATGAAAAAATCAAATCAATTCTATAGGATACACAATTTTTTGTAGAAGATGTATTAATTACTCCCAGTCATCCTGTTGGACTTTTACATGTTCCTGAATTCTGTATCCTAGTCTAGAAGAAGAAGGCTGTCAACGTGACAAAAGTGACGATTTCAGACAGCAGACGACAGGGAGTAAAAGTAATTCACTTGTTCGACTTAAGAAGATCTCTAGTCTTCTTGGTTCGACTAATGTGAAAATAACGGCCATTTCTTCCCATGGGTAAAAATAACGCGCATGGGAACATCTATTTTCTTAAGAATTTTTTATTATAATTTTTAAAATTTTTAATTTTAATTTTTATTTTTAATTTTTAATTTTTATTATTTTCAACTAAGCATTCAACTAACATTTTCGTTTTGTTTTTACGATTAAATTACTAAGAAATTAAATTGTTTATTTTAAAAATAGATTGCAATTTAACTGAATTGTAAAAATATAAAATTGTAATTTTTAAAGTTTATCATACAATTTCCAAATACTTTTTTTTATTTAAATTTAACACTGGTAAACTTTTCAATTTCTATTCCCTTTTTTTCTTTTCTATTTTTCTTTATTTTCACATCTTATCATTTTTCAGAATTAATTTTGTTTGGATCTATTGTTGTGAATAAAAAAATATATTGAGATAAAAATTGAAACTTAACATTCAGGTTTTAATTAATAACAGTTTCTATAAAAAAGTGAGAACTGACAACTTCAAACTTAACAATTTTTTTCTAATAACTTTTATTATCTTTGCAATAAAGTTCTTTTTCGCGAAGAAAATTCAGAGGGGTTTTTAACTTTTAATTTCGAACAGAATTAAAATAAAATGAATCTCGCAAAAGATTTAAATTTTCGTAGAAAAAGAACCAAAAATATGGGACGTGCTTAGAGTTTAAAAATTTTTATTGTTATAAATTTACTTTTTCTCCAATACAAATATTTATTACTTAATGGTTTGAATTACTAGATTAACTAGATTTCCCCCAATCGGCACGAAACTCTTGTCAGAAGTACCAATTAATAATAATCTGAAACGAAAAACAGAAGTCCACACAGAATTTGGTGACAGCCAAAGGATGAATTTCCTGGAATAAGAAATCTTAAAAAAAGACAATTGTAACATAAAAGATTCATTAAAATTTTAATTTATCAGGATATATTTACAACAGAAATTAAATTAAATTCTTTTGACGTGTTTATATAATCTATAAATTTAGATCGCTACTTCAAATCACGGTGGATCTCATTAAATTGAACCCAAAAATGTTTGCATCTCTCAGTTCAAAAAAAAGCAAAAGAGAACCTAGAAATGCAAGTACTTTTTGATTAAAATTAATTGATGCCCCACTGAGAAATATATTTTACAGAATAATATTCGACTTGAAATGATCTGCTTTGAGAAAGAGGATATTTCTAGAGATCTATACTTTATTTGAATTTATATAGTTAATATGAAATTTGTTTTATAAGGAAATAAATATATAGACATGGAAATATACTTCATCAACTCTTTCTTATTCGATTTCTAATAAAATAATTTTTCCAAAATTAAACTTACACAAAGTATAGGTTCTTTTTTTTCAATTTAAATTCACTTTTGTCAATATTATTTTCATTTTCTTTTCTTTTTTCATTAATTTTCTAAAAATTTGAGTCGATTATTTAATGTAGTGATGTAATTATTTTTTTTTAGAAAATTTTGTTCTACTGCGGATATAATAATCTATTTAAAAAAAAATTTCATAAAATTACACACATAAAAAACGATAATCGATAATAATTTAAACTACTCATTAACTAACTTTTATAAAAAATTTTAACATAAAAATTCTTCAGTTCTTCTACTAATCCAGTTACTAACTTTTATTCAGACTCCTCATGCTGATCCTGGAAGACATGTTTATTACTATTAACGCACACAATCTTAAACTGGCCTCTTTAATAGGGTATGTTTTAAATTTAGTTAAATAAACTGATAAGACTTAAAACACTATAACAAATTTCTATTTATACAAATTTGAAAATTAAAGAGTAAATAAAGAAGATTTAAGACTGATATTTTAAAAACTGTTGTATTAGAATTAAATTATTTTTTCAATTTTGAAGTGGTAAAGTAATTGATCAATCAATCGGAGTCGATATCGAATTATTTCTCATTTTACACTGTAGAGAGTTGAATTTTCTTGTGTTTATGAAAATTATATTACTTCATTATATTAATAATGACCTGGTTATAATATTTATATTTTTTATAAGTATAATTTCGATAATAGTTTAAAATTATAATCTCAAGATTTTCAAGTAAAATAATTATAATTCGGGAGCTGGATCGAAAACTAAAGTCGAGTTTCTTGACCCACCTCCTGAATTTTTTAAACAAGTTTTTTTAAAAGAAATTTATGGAAAATAAATTCAAAATCAAATCTTAAATTATGCACTAAGAAAATAATATTTATTTGACAAAAGTACAATACTGTCTGATTCAAAGCATCTACTGCAAATTTTTAGAATTCTTTCGTATTTGAGATAAAAATTTTCAGTAAATGCTATCAAACCAATAACATTAGAATCAAACAGTAAAGTACAGTTAATTGTCAAAATATATTTTCTTAGTCAAAGCATTTTTTTTATCAGTTTATCCTCGTTTTCCTAGTGCAATTCATACCAATCATACTTTCTAAGAAATGTACACCTCAAAATACATGTCTTCAACCGTTTTTTTTAATAGAGAGTACGCTATTTTGAATTTCTAAATCACTAAACTCTCGATTTGCCTTTTTCATGATTCAATATTTTTCTGATTGTGGGTAAATTTTAATTTTCATATTTCTAATAGCATAAAATCATTGGTGTATTTTTAAATAGTTGAATATTATTTTTTGCACATTTTTGCAAAATGAATTATTATAAAAAATCGTGATCAAAATCTAATAGAAATGATTAAATTTCCTTTGCATATTAATTAATAAATCACTTATAAGGCGAGTCGAGAGAGCATCAGTCTTAGCTTGTTTCACAAATTATATAAAAGTTTAGCTATACTACATGTATTTTCAGTTTTTGTAATTATTTTATCGGTTGTTTCAACAATTTAAACTATTACAGGATTGCCACATGTCGGGGAATTCAGGGAAAAATCAGGGATTTTATTATTAGAACTATCATAAATTCATTACTTATAAATTATTTAATGAATAATTTTACTTAAAAATTTCAAAATTTATTGAATTTCAAAAGATGGAACTTCAAAGGTTTCAATTCGAAATTTTAGAAAATTTCAATTTTTCATGAATTTCTACAATTACAGAAATTCAATTATTTTCAAAAGTGATGAACTTCTTTGCAAAAAATCAATTATGTTCCAAAATTTAAAAAAATTCTTCATCGAATTTCAATTATATGTATAAATAAAAAAATTCTCTTCAAAATTTTAATTATCTTTATAAATAATAAAATTCTTCTCCGAAATTCAATTATTTTCGAAAAAATTTAATAAAATTATTGGTAAAATTTCAATTATTTTTAAAAAATTTCCTCATTTTAATTATTTTTTAATATTTACTACTTTATTAAAAGTTTTCAAAAGAATTAAATTATTGAAAAAAATTTTAATAAAAATTTCACAGGAATTCAATTATTTTACCAATTTTTTATAAATTTCTTCCCACAAATTCAATTATTCTTAATTTTTTAATGAAATTTCTCGCAAGAATTCAAATATATACAGAGAATTGAAAAAAGTAGTTCTGAAAAATTCAATTATTTCAAAACATTTAAATAAAATTCTTTTGAAAATTCTATTATTTAAAAAAATTTGGACAAAATTTGACAAAATTAAATTTTTAATAAAATTTTCCTAAACAATTCAATTATTTTCAATACATTTCTTCTTCAGAATTCAATTATTTTCACAAATAAAACATTTTTTTATGGGAATTCAATTATTTAAAAAAATTTGAATAAAATTCTTCTCAAGAATTCAATTCTTTTCAAAAATAAAATTTCACAAAAATTCAATTAATTCACAAAAAATTCACAAAAATTCAATTATTTAAAAAAAATTTTAATAAAATTCTTCGTTAGATTTAAATTATTTCCAATTTTTTAATAAAATTTTTAATGGAATTTAATTATTTTAAAAAAGTTTTTAAATAAATTCTTTACAAGAAATTAATTATTTTTATAAATAATAATAATATTTTTCTCCGGAATTCAATTATTTTTACAAATAAAATTCTTTGTAGGAATTCAATACTTTAAAAAAATGTTTAATAAAATTTATTGCATGAATTCAATTATTTTCATAAATTACAAAACTTGTGGTATAATTTCAATTATTTTTTATACAATTTTAAATAAAATGATAGAAAATTGAATTTATCCCTAAAATTTGTTTTTAAATTCTCCGAAACAATTAAATTATTTTTAAAAATTTGGATAAAATTCTTTATAAAAATTAAATTTTAAGAAATATTTAATTATATTTGATAAATTATTTATTTTTGTATTTAAATAATTAAATTCTCGAAAAATTTTCAAATTAAAATTGATTGAAAAATAAATTTCAGTTAAAATTTTAAATTATAATTAAATATTAAAAGCATTATAACATGAATTTTTAGAAATATAATTGAATTTTGAAAAGGGTTCAAATTAAAATCTTGGAAAATTTGAATTTATAGTTACAATATTCTTATGATATAAAATAATGATTTTATCACTGTATCATGTTAAATTTATTATAAAACATGAAGAAATCAATTACTCCGAGTCATCGACTTGAAGTGATCGATTTCTTCATGTTTTATAATAATATTCTCATAAGTTATTGAATTTCAGAAGGTTTGAATTTGAAAATCTTAATTCCTGTAGAAAAATAATAATGATGAAATATTTATTTAAAAAAGAAGTTTTTGAGGTTTTCGCATAATTTTGAAGTGAATCAGAATATTCTTCAGGGTCAGGGAAAAAGTGAAAATTTTGTCTGGAAATCAGGGAAAAGTTATGGAAAAACAAAATTAATTTTTTTTGGCAACCCTGTATTAAGTTTGGAATATAAAAAAGAGAAAAATTGTTTAATTTTTATCGTCTTAAAATTAATTATTATTTACACATTTTTGCAATAATTTGAAACTTGAGAAATAAATTAATCAACATCTCATACAATTTCAATGTATGATATTTTGATCATAGTACTTTCTTTCGGATCGACTCTATTATGCAATAAACATTTTACATTTTATTAAAAATGAAAAATGAATTAGTGATAAATTTAGCTTAAATGATTTTTTTTCCGTACAAACTATTTATACGCTGTAATAACTTCCAAAATTAATAAGAAATTGTTTTAATGAAAATAATATTTTGAAAAAATTAAGAAAATCGTAAAATATTTTTTCACAAATCGACGTCTTAAATTCTAAGTAATTGCATCGACTGCATAGACTTTAAAAAAAATAACAAATTACATACAGAAAAAAGTATTTGACAAATGACGGTTTGAATGAACGTACGAACGAACGAACGATAATAAAAAGTTACCGCTGAATTTCTTAACTATATTTGCAGTAAATCTACGTTTATAGAATATAGTACCTGGCACAGGAACATGACCTTTCAGTCATTGGCATCACAACATAACAAGGACTACAAGCTGCCGCACGTCAATCGCACTGAACGAACACTTCATTACACGTTTTATTACACACAACTCCTCGAGCAAGTGACAGCAGCTAGACACTTGGTCCTGAGTATTTCTGTATCATCTGTTATTATTTTTGACTTTACATTATTAAAGTTCTTATTGCTTTTACAAATCGGCTTTGGACATTTGTTAATTGACGATCGCTTAGCAAGATTAGTTATTGCACTTTCCTTTCTAAACTGATCGTGACACGTTTGGAGACAATATTTGCAACCAAAGGCACACGGATTTACAGAGACTTCATTTTCAATAGCATGTGTTTTTAAGTTTCATTTTCAACATTATACAGAGTCGATGAATCTCGTACAAAGGTCAATTTAGTACATAATACAAGTTTTGACAGTCTCTGCGTTACCGACACAATCTCCAAGAGCCAGCAACGTGATTGGCCGTAAGAATTATGAATAACTATGCTTTTAGAATCTACGCGTAGGCAAACCCCGATGACATCAAGTGATACAGTCTTGTCACTTGGGGTTGGCCGGGGCTACGTAACACTAATCGCAGAATTAGAAGGACCTGAGGGTGCTGGACCCACATCACTTTTTATACATTGTCCTGTTAACTGATTAACGCTCAGGGGATTGTTTATATCGTGGGGATTTGTTCCAACGGGATTTCGATGTGGCGGCGCTGTTTGCGCAGAACTCAAATTCGACAGAGATGTAGGCACCGGTGGCGTTAGCGGACAAGGACATGGACTCGCTAAACTGGATGGAGATGGTAACACTAAAGATGGACTCGCCAGACTAGACAATCCAGATAGACCACCAGGACTGCTTAGGGATTCATCATCTTCCGGAGTTCCAGCTTCGCCGACGCTTCCAAGATTGTCCTCCGAATGATCGTCTTCCACATCACCATCGCCCTCACCATCACCGTCTCCGCCCTCCCCCATGTATCTGATACATTTCTTCTTACGCCTGCAAACAGATTACAATCATTTAAAAACTTTAACCCAACTATCATCTTAGGATTGTTCGCACTTAATTATCATTAAATTAATTCCCCAACAGATCATCATTAATATTACATTTTTTCATTGATTCATTCATAAAAAATAATACCCCAAGTAAGAAAGTCTACAGTGTCTGCAAACTTTTCGCGGACCTATAGCAGACTCCTGTCTCTTCCAAAAACAAAAAGTCTCGTGTTTTAAGATTCAAAAATTGAATTATTTTTCATATTTTTTGAACCACCAGACATTCTGCTGACAAGAGACAAACATTCTATGGACATACTTGGGATTGAGTATTAAAAAATTCTATCTGATAAATAAGTATTTAGAACTTTACTACCCTATTTTATTTTTTTTTTTTTAAGAATAACCTTCTTTTAATAAAACGACAACTTTTATGTATGTAAACAGAAATTTCCCATTTAGAAACTATATTTAAAGTTACTGCAAATTTTAAAAATAATGAAATATTTGATGATAATTTTAGCGAACAATCCAATCCTTAACACTTGCATGAAACATAAAGGCGTTACTGAAAGACCATGCGTTCACTTCAAATCATAATTGCATGAAAGAACGTACAAAATAATTATAGAATACAGTTAATAATAGTTAAGGAAACAAAAAAACTTAATAAATCATATTTTTTTAAAAATATTTTGAAAAACAAAAACATTTATCTAACTGTAAATACACATTTCACTTTTTTAGATGAAAATTCTTAATTTTGTTAAAAATAATTTATGTATTAACCCTTCAAGGCACAATTTTTCTACATATAAAAATATTTTTTCTTTCACAAACAACTACTTTACACTTAAAAAAAAGAAACAAATAAAATAAAATATGTAGAATAATTTTGTAGTGTTATAAGGCTGTTGGAGCAACTGATAAAAAATGTCATGTTTCTTTAAAAAACCTGTTTGTAAACAGTTTTTAGAAGCAATGGATGAAAAAATAATTTGGATGTTACATTTTTCATGTAATTTAAAAATAAACATTATTATTAAGCTATACGAACAATTTCAATTATAAAGAAGTTGGATTCTCAATGTGACAGGCAACACGAAGAACGTCATTGGAGCATATGACCTACAAAATTTCAAATCCAACCAAATTATATTTGGAAATGATTTTTAACTGGAGTTAGTATAATGTAATAATTGTTAGATTTTGACACAATTCACTTCATCATATTAAACGAAAGATTTACTATTTTTTTAAAAATCGAAAATTTATTCATTTTGTAATGAAAATTCTAAACTTAATATAATTGGATATTACATGTTATTTAGCCACATTTTTTTATCCGAAAAGACAGTTATCCATAACCTAACGGTTATGAGATATTACATCAGTGAGATCTTCGATTTGCTTGCAAAAACCATCCTGGCTTCTGTGGGGTTTGGTAAATCTCCTTCGGGTGTGTCTCCGGATGGCGGAGACAGAAATGAAAGTTCTAATCGACGTCTAAGAAGTTGAGAGGAGATCTAGGTCTAGATTTGGTCTAGAAATGTTAAATACCGATGTTAAAGTTGTTTGACTTTAAAGATATTTGTATTTGTCATACAGTCGCTTAGTGTAATTTTACACACATGTTATAAAATTTAATGTTTTGTAAATTTCTTTAAGTAAGCGAAACAAAGAAAATTGTTGGGTCAGTACTCATTCCGCTATATTGATGCACTCGGTATATTGACACTGTTGGAAAGCAAGTAAATGAGTCTAATGGTAACTTTTACGAATGTCAGAAATTGTTGCAAGAAATAATCTAACAGTGTGCTAGTGCCAGTCTAATAGACGTACTTGCAATTACTTAGATATTGAATACATTGTCTAAATCGTCTATTGTACCTCTCATTTCTTGATGGTACACACCAACAAGAATTATTCAACTATTCAAAGTCTTAGACAACTATTAGACATCACGTCTTGTGGAGTCTCGTTTTAACGTCTATGATCTCTATTTAGACTCCATATAGATAGATGTTTTAGACGTCGACTAATAGATTTGTCATTTCTGACAGGGTAGCTTGCATAGACCAAAACCAACAAATAGTAAGAACGGAATCAAATAACCCAGTCAGAAATAAAAGATTTAATCAACGTCTATTCGATGTCTAAAGCATTTATGCATGTGGAATCTAAATCGAGATCTATATAGACGTCCAAAAAGGACGCCACAAGACGTCTATAGACGTCGAAATTGTTGTCTATTAGACGCCTACCGCGCAGAATTTGGCTGCACATTCGCAAAAGGCGAGTGGTCTATTCGACATCTTAGATGTTAAGTAGATGTCTAATCGCTGCCTAGGACTGATCCAACAATTTTCTTTGTTTGGCTTATTTGAAGAAAAAAAATATTAAATTTTATATAAAATTTCACTAAGCCAATGAATGACAAATACAAATATCTTTGAAGTCAAGCAACTTTGACATCTATTTTTAACATTTCCAGACCAAATCTACACCTAGATCTCCTCTCAACTTCTTAGACGTCGAATAGATGTCGGTTAGACCTTTTATTTCTAATTGGTCAGCAGTGCAGAGATCAACAGCAAAGACTGGAATTGAAGATAGGGAGCGCCATTATAGATTCAGACTCAAAAGCGAAAGCCAGGAACCAGCGAGGGTGACACGGTCATTGGACCCAACCACCGAGGGATGAAGCTCGCGATTGTAGTCACCAACCCGGAAGAAGCAAATGGGCCGGAGAAATTGGGAAACATAGAAATTGGCTTTATGGTTTCCCAATTAAAAACGGTAATGCTTGTTCGGTAACATCGTTGCCTGGAATGCGGCTATATTGGAACGAAATATAAAAAGTAAAGAAAAGTTTGTCAATAATGTTTCAACCACCCATATTGGTGAGGATGAAGGAAGGTTGGAGGGCGGAGGATGCGAAGTCTTCAGAATAGCTTTTGAGGAAGCCAAAAAGACTTACAAGGACTAAGAGTAAATAAAGAAAGATAGTTTTAAAAAGCATCCATAATTTAAAATACACACTTTTTTTGTCCTTTTACAATTTTACTTTTGAATTTAAATTTGTTTTTATTTATTGATTTCATATACATTTTATTTTGATTTTTTGTACTGCAAATTCCTCTTTCAACTACTGATGCAGAATGTCGTATTTTCAATGGAGATGGAGTGACCCCACTGAAGGCCAAAGGCTTACGACAGTTCTAAAACTGGGCAAGGGGTTCCAAATAAGAATTACTGGTTTTCGTCATTAGTTGTCAGTTTTAAAGTGCTTAATGAATAGTCAATCTTGTCATGGTGGCGGGACGTTTCATTAAAAGACATCCGAACAACAATTTCCTTTCTTCCTTTTCATACCCTTGGCACGCAATTCGGTATGAGCCGTTACAAAACTATTATTAGCAACATTTCTCCAAAAAATATCTGGATGTGAGGAGAAGCCAAGCGAGATCAGAAAACTGATGTTTTTGGGAAGCTCCTTAAAGAATTAGATACTAACATTAGTTACACGAGGGTTATAGGTCTGAGGTTTACTAAATAGAAGTCTTTACCTCTTAATTGAAATAGAAAAAAATATCAAGACGGCTTTTGCTGTGGACGTTACAAAAGCGTTTGGAAGCGTGAGTAGGGTGAATTTAATGAACCGAAGCGTAAAGATTGGATTAATCCTTTGCCCAATCAGAAAGAGTCGCACGCTTGAGGTGCTTGACAAGTTATAATTTCGAGGACAGATCATCTGCGTTATTTAAGTGCGGAGTAATTGATCATAAGTTCGCAAACTGTAAAAGAAGCCTAGTTGCTTCCCGTGTAAGTAGGAATGTGGATCAAACTACAAACTTTAAAACCGAAGGGTAATACAGTAGGTTAAAAAATGATCAAGGGAAAATGGCAGGAATGATTTTTAGTGGGTAGACCGAATCAAGAGTGGTCAGCCCCACATGGCTTGTGTTTTTTAAATTTAGGTATTTGAATTAGTAGATTTTTCAATAACGACAAAAAAATTTAATTTTAATTAAATTAAATTAAATTTTACTTTCTAATTTAATTTTATTTAATTTAATCCTAATCATATTTAAATATCAAATTTATAAAAAAATTTTCCTCAATAATTTAAATTGTTTGGTGATACTTAAACCATAAATTCTATTGTTTCTGAAAGATTACAATAATTTCGAACTGTTTTTTGAGAGGACGTGAAGAAGGTTATAAATGAGATGTGATCTATCTGTCTTTGATTTACCCTGAACTTAGATCTGATTATGAATTCTAGTGTTTTTAAGTTACTAATTACAAATAACAAGTTAAAACATCAAATTTCAAAAATGTTAAATTTATAACGAAGCACTAAAAATTAAAATACATACGACTTTGCTGTAAACTTGTTAAGATGTCCCTAAAGAGATTGATTATAAATTTAATATTCAAGTTGCAAACTTAAAAATAAATAAAAGAATATGTCGGAATAACTTTAAAAAATTTTTTGCACTCAAATTTAATTTTCTGCATCGTTAATGAACGTTACCGTCCGAAATCGACCGATCAAACACATGGTAGGAACTATGAGATTTTTGTTACTATCTAATAACTTATCTGGAAATTATCTTTCTTAAAAATTTTTTTTTATTTTACGACAAAGTTTACTAAACTTTTAAACATTCTCTTATATAAATTACGTATTTTTTCGTATTGAAGAGAGCATTAGTTTAAAACGGCACAGTTTTTTCAGAGTATTTAAATCTAAAGTGTATAAAATGGAATAATTGTAAAAACAATATAGGAGAAACTTTATAATTTTAAAAACTTTAAATGAAAACACTTTTCTACCTACAAAACGTTATCCTTCAAACAGTTAAAATTGATGCTCAAAATTTTTCGTGCAATGCAAATCTATTTTAATATTTTCAATCAATCATTAGCAAATGCCATGCTAAGAAAAAGTTAAGAAAAGACAAGCATTTACATCATAAATAGTTATAGAAATAA